TGTCTCAAAAAAAAAAAAAAAAAGAATAACAAATGGAATTAAGAGAGGGACTCTGTTGGAGGTTGGGAGGGGGCCTATGCATCATGCTTTCTGTAGTGCAAACCCCTAACCATGTGCCAGCACTAGCTAGTGAGATCTGTAGATCATTGCCTCACCTCATGAAGTCAAAGAAAGGCTTCAACTTCTGCTTCCACAAGTCGTCTTTTTGTTCACTCTCTATAAAATAATCAACTCATGCCCTCAAGGTTTCTGCTGTGGAGTTGAGGTGACAATATTTCAACAGAATTGATGCCATATGGAAAATCCCAAGCTAGCTTTTGTACAAGTACAAAATCAAATATTCAAAACAGATGAGAAGCTTGCTATGGTGGTGGGAGCACAGGCTTTGGTGTTAAACAGTCCTGAAATGGAATTTCATCTCTCCTAATTAGAAGCTGCAGAGAAGTCAAGTCTGAACCCTTACGAGCTTTCATTTCCTCAGCTATAAGTGAGACTAATAACACTGAATTTGATGAGTTGTTACAAGGATTAAATGGGACAAACAGGAAGTGTGTAGCATCTATGGCACATAGATGTAAAATAAGTAAGAATGGACAGGTGCTATTAAAAATACTACCTAGCTGGGTGCGGTGGCTCATGCCTGTAATCCCAGCACTTTGGGAGGCCAAGGTGGGTGGATCACTTGAGGCCAGGAGTTCGAGACCAACTTGGCCACCATGGTGAAACCTCGTCTCTACTGAAAATACAAAAATTAGCTGAGTGTGGTGGCACGTGCCCGTAGTCCCAGCTACATGGGAGACTGAGGCAGAAGAATCACTTGAATCTGGGAAGCTGCAGATGATGGGCTGCAGTAAGCCAAGATCGTACCATTGCACTCCAGCTTGGGCAAAAGAGTAAGACTCTGTCTCAACCAATATATATATATTGTCTATATATATATATATATGTCTATATATATGTCAATATATATATGACTATATATATATATGTCTCACTTCCTTACTGTGTGCTCGCACTGCACATAAAGCCTTATTGGTAGATAATACTGTTAAAACCATCTAAAAAGCTGAGCCCTGGAGAGGTTAACAGTCTTCCCCCAAGTCCCGTTGCCAACAGTAGCAGGGCCAAAATTTAGGCCAGAACCACAGCTTCATAGACTACAGGGGCACCCAGTAAGAAACGTGGACTTTTTTTTCCCCTAAATACACTAGATGAATTAAACACAAAACAAACAAAAAGAAATGTGGCTCTTTTCTATTGACAGGTCACAGTGTCTCGTATTTTCTTGTATCTTCGCTTATAACTTTATTTTTTATTTTATTTTTTATTTTTATTTATTTATTTATTTATTTATTTATTTGTTTATTTTTTGAGACAGGTTCTCACTCTGTCACCCAGGCTGGAGTGCAGTGGCGCGGTCTCGGCTCACTGCAAGCTCCGCCTCCCGGGTTCACACCATTCTCCTTCCTCAGCCTCCTGAGTAACTGGTACTACAGGTGCCCACCACCACGCCTGGCTAATTTTTTGTATTTTTAGTAGAGATGGGGTTTCACCATGTTAGCCAGGATGGTCTCAATCTCCTGACCCTGTGATCTGCCCGCCTCAGCCTCCCAAAGTGCTGGGATTACAAGCGTGAGCCACCGCGCCCGGCCTATTTTTTTTTATTTTTTAAGGCGGAGCCTCACTCTATCTTGCCCAGGCTGGAATATGGTATGATCTCAGCTCACTGCAGCCTCGGCCTCCTGGGTTCAAGTGATTCTCCTGTCAGCCTCCCGAGTAACTGGGATTACAGGAATGCGCCACAATGCCCAGCGAATTTTTGTATTTTTAGTAAACAGGGGATTTCACCATGTTGGCCAGGCTGGTCTCGAACTCCTGACCTCAGGTAATCCACCCACCTCAAGTGATCCACCCAATTCGGCCTCCCAAACTGCTGGGATTATAGGCGTGAGCCACTATGCCCAGCCTTCACTAATAACTTTAAGAGGAATTACAGTAGCAGTCAAGCAAAAATAAATAAATAAATGGAGAATTTTAAATACAGAAAGACTTGTGGACTAAAAATAGATCATTTGCAGTGAGTTCGGCATTTGAAACTGTTAACATATTACTCCTTTATGGTCATTGGCATCCTTTAAGGAGAATAGTTCATTGAGCGCCAGAAAGTATCTAAGGATTTTGAATTCAGACCACTTTTATGGAATACAAACTCCAAGGGGGTCTTTTCTTTCTTTTGAGTATGAATGGACAGAAATTTTCTGTTTGTCTTTTGTAATGTTCCAAGATCAAAGGACTTTTTGCTGAAAATCAAGTTCTGTAAAAGCCATGCATAGTCCGAGTGTAGTGTGTGACTTTCTCAATCCAGTGAAAATAGGGCATTGGGCACCAGACTTTGAAAACTAGTATCATTACAGGGTGCTACCAGGAGTCTGCATTAGTTTCTCCTCTTACTACCTTAATACAAATGACCTTTGGTAGGATCTCATTAGTGTCGCTGGATCACCTCAAGCCACTGACTCCGCAAGTTTCCTCCAAATAATTCCCCCGAAACAGTTCAGAGATACAAACTCTTGGCAGTGTAAACGCTCCCTGGGTCTGGAAATTTCATAAGTCAGTGTTAAAACAAAGAATGGTCTAAAATGTATTCCTGGTACGGAATCTGAAATGTAAAGTGCCTGGATCCAGAAACTTTTCCTGGCTCTTGGGGGCTGCCTCTCTAATTGCTATAATAAAGAATGTTTTCAGAACTGTGTAACAATAAAATGAAAGTACGGTATTTAGTATTGTAAAAGTATTTGGAATCCAGATGGGTTATCTAGTTATAGACCTCTTGTTTTCTTTTGTTGCTTCTCTATTGTGGAATTTGTATAGAAACTCTTTTTTTGTTTTTCTGTTGTTGTTATTTTGTTTTTAATAGAAAGTAAGCCTGGTGCTATGGGACATGCCTGTAGTCCCAGCTCCCAGGATGAGGCAGGAGGATCATTTGAGCCCAGGAGTTTTGGGCAACACAGTAAGACTCCTCTTAAAAAAAATATATATATATATATATACACACACACACACACATATATATGGCTGGGCACAGCGGCTCATACCTGTAATTCCAGCACTTTGGAAGGCCAAGGCAGGAGGTATTGCTTGAGCCCAGGAGGTGGAGACCAGCATGGACAACATAGTGAGACCCCCATCTCTACTTTAAAAAAAAAAAAATTGGCCAGCCATGGTTGTGCACACGTATAGTCCCAGCTACTTGGGAGACTGAAGCAGGAAGATACCTGAGCCCAGGAGATCGAGGCTGCAGTGAGCTATGATTAAGCCACTGCACTCTAGTTTGGGCAACAAAGCGAGATGCTATCTCAAAAAAAAAGCAAACAAAAAAGGTTTGGTGTGGGTGTATGTATTTTGTCTATCTTGTCACATTTTTGCAATAAATACTCATTTCTTTACTTCCTATGAACTTAATTCTGAGGCTCCATACTTCTGGACTAAGATGAAATTCAACCTCAACCATTTTGGTGGCTCATTAACTCCAAAGGGTACCAACCAAACACCCAGACATTGACAACACCCCTATGGTCATTGCCATCAGCACTGCCTGCTCATCATCAAGCCTATCCTTGGCCAAGCCTATAAGATCTCTCAAGTCCAGAAGTCCTGCTCCTTGACTTCTTTCATGCCTGGGGTCCTATAGGTGTCAGCCTCTAGGCTCTGACAGCTGTCAAGGATGTCAGCCCTTGACCATTGCCAGCAGGGTCTTAAAACCTGTGTGTGTGTGCACTGGGGGCAAGGAATAGGAGGACCCTGGGCACTGCAGGACCCAAATCCCCACAGTGGAACCCATAGACCTCTGTTTCTAATCTCCACTCAAAAGCTATGCGCCTCTCTCAGCAGCCCTCCAAGACACCTATCATAATCCATTCAGTGCTCTTCGGTTCTGTTAAAAACAGAAAGAGCCAATGACTTCTGGTTGCTTCAGTTTTGAGCTCCACAAAAATCCCCAAGGTGAAGAATTTCAAAGCTTGACTACTTGCTCAACAGGAGGGGATGAGGGAAAAGGAGTGTGGACAAACTCAATTTGATAATCCTATATTTTTAGAATAGTCTCTCATCAAAATATATAAATATTTGGGTGCATAAATGTGAATTGTCTAGAGAGATCCTCGGAAATTATGAGTGGTGATTGGTGGGACTGAATCTGGGTAGGAAGCAGCCTATTTTTGTGCTTTGCAACAACCTGTAGTAGTATTGCTTGAATCCTCTACGTGGGTACATGTCATTTTTATGATGATAAAATAATTTTTAAGGTTATGAATCTGAAGAGATACAAATTATTTTTTAATTCATTAACTATGAAACACTTTTCCCAACCAAAGCTTACCTACAGCAGATATGGTTGTCCTAATTTTATGGCTCTGATTGCTGAATTCAGAGGAATTCATTGCCCAAGATTACAAGAAGGCAGAGTCAGGATTTGAACCCACGGCTGTTTTACACTTAGGTCCATGAATGCTCTTCCCTTTACTCCTGTTTTCTTCTCCTCCAGGACCCATTCATTCCACTAAGTTCTTTTCTTTCATTGCCCAAGTAATAAGGCCTGGCAAAACCCCCTTCATCAGGCCACACATCTATGCCAAATCCTTGAATACCAATAAATACCTGAAACCGTGTCTCAAAATACACTATAAAATGTGAATAAGAATGACACATAGTTCACCTCTAGTTCATACGCAGCAGCAGTGTACAGGGTTAACAGTAAAACACATGGAAGAAGTTTAACATGAAATATTAGGCAAAGCCAGTTTTAAAGGAATGAAATAATAATCTTAGGAAAATTTAATTATACCTCTGAATATATCATAACTGTGCATATTGTTTATCTTTATGTCAGATAAAATATAACATTATTAACAAATAGAAAATTATGGGTTGTGGCCTATTGGTTGTTTGCTTAAGGAAGCATTTCTGGTTGTTGAAAATGAGTAAGATTTTGTTTTTTATAGAATGCTATAGTTATCCATGAAGTCTATGAAGAAGGGGCAGCAGCCAGAGATGGAAGACTTTGGGCTGGTGACCAGATATTAGAGGTACATGATTTTGCATTTTATTTTATATCAGTAAATGTAGTTCCTTTCCTGATCTCGATCCATAAAGTTGTCTTTCTACTCAACTATGTCTTCACTGATTCCTCTCCCATTTAACAAAATGCATATCATATTCTTTTTTTCTTCTACGTACATTGTACAGTGGTTTAGAATCATGACAGGTTATGAATCTACATTTGTCTATGAAAACTTTTTTTAACTAAAAGGAAAAATAGAACTTATGGGTCTATTATTTTAATATCAAATAAGACTAATATGGCAAATTTTTTGCCTCTCCATTATACCCTACTAAATTCCTCCTAAAAACACATACATATAGACACATATGCATACACATATATACCTGATATTTTAAAGATTTCATGGCAGCTTAAATCGTATTTTCTTAATCTTGATAAATCTTTATGCCAAATGGAAGTTCATGTTTCGCCAGCAATGTTTTCAAGTTGACAAAAAATGTAAAATCTTCCCCCATGATGCTTACTAAAATTTGAAATGCTTAACTTTTTCAAATTGACTCTCATTTAGCAAAGCTGTTACAGCCTTTTTAAAAGTACCAAAGCAGGCAGTGTCTGCACTATGGAATGGCTGAATGAGAAGGCGATGCCAGGCGTTCTGGTAGGTGGAACTAAAGAGCTTTCTGGATGGTGTGAAACCTTTAGGCAACATTTTTCTTTTCATTGGATGAACTTAATTGAATAGTTGGCATTTTATGGTGAGCATGTGCATTTTTGCTTTGCAACTTTAATATAGCACATTACGAATGACATCATAGAATTTTATTTTTCCCTTTGGTGGTTCATTTCTGCCTCCCAAGATGAAACCAGAGATATAATTAAGGGCAGGAAACATAGGCGAGAAGGGGTTAAAGGAGAGGCCAGGCTGATTGCAAATTAAATTCAGCCCAAGTTACAGGATTTCTTTGCAGGCCTTTACTGTGTTTCATCATTGGATTAAGACATATTCCCAGTACATTCATTAAGGTACAAGTGTATGAGGTTAGAAAAATAAGCAAGACCTCTCTGGGAATTGGCTTGACTGCCTTAGCATACAACATGGTTTTTTAGTGGTCAGGAGTTTGGGGTTTCTTTGTTTTTCCCTCCCCAGATTTTTAAATCAGTTGGTATTATCATAATTGGCTTTTTAAGATGAATAGATTAAATATTTAAAATGGCACATATGCCTTAATACACATATGCCTTGATACTTATATGATTTGTAAGTCCACAAATTATAATGGTCACTTGAAACTAAATCTAACATGTTCATTATCTTGAATGTGGCGATGGGTTCACAGGTATAAATACCCATCTGGTAAAACCTATCAAATTGTATACTTTAAATTTGGGCAGTTTATTTTATATCAATTATACTTCAATAAGGATTTTTTAAAACTATTTATGTTTGTATTAGATAGACCCTCTGTAGCTGCTCTCTTCTATAAAGTATACTCAAGTACAAGCAAGCACCCAGTAAAGGTTAACATGAATAAAGCAAATTTGTTTTAAGTGGGAGAATTTTTCAAAAATCAAGTTCACAGTTTCTTGGCAACTGGGAGCATTATATTATCTATTCTGAATGGATGGCCTATACTTCTCATTAAAGATGGCCCATGCAGGCTCCTCTCTTTCCTCAAACAAGGTTAGTTCGTGAGAGTCTAACATGTGTTTAGCTAAGAAATACAGCTCTCAATTTGGTCAGGGAACATGTTTCCTTTCTAAACAGCTTCTACTTCACATTGGACTGGTTCTGGTCGTGGCTGATGGGTACAAATGCGTGATGAGGCAGCAGCAGCCTGTGACCCACAGGAGGCCTTGAGAAGACAGGCCTGTTTTCGTGGGATATTTTGAGACCATGAAACAGGGTAACACTACATCAGCGCTTTTCCAAACAATGCCCTTTCCATTCGTGAGAGTCCTCCGCGTTCCGCAAATTGGCCTTTCATGGTTTTAATACTATCCTCATGGTAAGGTTAGGACATGCCAGGTTTTGCTTCCAAAGATAGAGTTGAATAATGTTTTGGCATGGCAAGATTTATGATTCTATTAATAGGATGAGCATCAGCTATGTCTCCTTTCTGGTTCTCCTTTTAGGCCAGTTCCTTCTCGTACCCTCCCTGCTCTGCAAGTGGGAGCAAAAGAGAGTAGAGAGTTAATGCCTGTTTTTCCCTATGCAATAAAATACGGAGGAACTGCTGCACTAGCTTTGTTATTCTTTCCTTCTCAAGAACTGGGTTCACCCACTTCCCCACATGGCCATTCTACCCAAGGGATATGGCATTCTCCATTTGACAACTGGGTCTTCCTGGAGCCTTTCTTCTCAAATAGGAAGCCCTGCTATTTCCACCCCTCCTCCTCTACAGCCAATGTTCTAAATAATGCATACTGTGCTTCTGTAAAGCACTTACATAATACATCTCCCCACGATGTTCTAGCCACGCCGTGATATTTCTGTCATGATTATCTGCACATTTAGTGGTATCTCCTGATTTGCAGAGGAGCAAATGGAAACCAGGAACTTAGATCACTTCCATCCGAGCAGATACCATCTTGCTGGAATTTAATAGAAATTGCTTTGTAATATTAGAGCTTAATGACAATGCTTTTAATTAAAAGTATATTTGTTAGGGCCTTTCAAACGATATTTAGAGGCTTAGAAAGTTCACCTTCAATCCAGGGAGGTAACTGGTTCTTTTTTTATTGAGTGACAGAAGTGGTCTTGTGTGCCATCTATTGGAGTACAGGAAAATAATCAACTCAGACCACATTTCCTGGATATACACTTTTCCTCTTTGTGTTTCATTCACAGACAGTGAAAATGTGTTCATTGGCCTAAAGTAACAGTGAATGATCATGCTGAGAGGAAAAACAGCCTTCACTGAAGTTACTTCAATTCCTTGTAAAATACCAACTTCTAATTTACATTGGACAAAACTGTGTGCCAAGCCCTGTGTCAAATGATTTACAGGGTTTATTTCAATTAATCTTCACAACACTAAGTAAATATTATTATCTCCAATTCATAGATGACACGGCAAAAGTTTGGTTTAAGTAATTTACACAGGGTTTCATATAGCCAGGAAATTGGAATCAGCACTCAAACCGAAGTGCATCCATATCCAAAACCCATGTTCTTTTTTTTTTCTTGAGACAGAATTTTGCTCCGTTGCCCAGGCTGGAGTGTAACGGCACAATCTATGCTTACTGCAACCTCCACCTCCCAGGTTCAAACAATTCTCCTGCCTCAGCTTCCCAAGTAGCTGGAATTAAGGTGCCTGCCACCACGCCTGGCTAATTTTTTGTATTTTTAGTAGAGATGGGGTTTCACTATGTTGGCCAGGCTGGTCTTGAACTCCTGACCTCATGATCCGCTTGCCTCGCTCTCCCAAAGTGCTGGGATTACAGACGTGAGCCACTGTGCCCGGCCCAAAACCCATGTTCTTTACCACTGTTATTCTGGATGTAGCTCATCTACGTGAACACACAAGCCACCAAGATATTCTAGAAAATAAACAGCAGCTTGGAAATTAGGCATTTAAACATTTTCTTGGCTCACCGAATCAACTTCAAATGACAATTCAAAAGTCACCTTCTCCAAGAAGGGTTCATTCTTCCTTTCTCCTTTCCCCGTAACCATTGTTTATGCCACTGGTCCTTAGTCTTTAGAATGTCAGAATTTAAAAAACCCTTAGGGGCTGGGCACATTGGCTCACACCTGTAATCCCAGCACTTTGGGAGGCCGAGGCTGGCAGATCACCTGAGGTCAGGAGTTCAAGACCAGCCTGGCCAATATGGTGAAACCCTGTCTCTACTAAAAATATAAAAATTAGCCAGGCGTGGTGGCGGACACCTGTAATCCCAGCTACTCGGGAGACTGAGGCAAGAGAATCGCTTGAACCTGGAAGGCGGAGGCTGCAGTGAGCCGGGATCGCGCCACTGTACTCCGGGCCTAGGTGACAGAGTGATACTCCATCTCAAAAGAATAAAAGAAAAAGTCTTAAACCATTGCTTCATTGTACAGATAAAGGACCAAAGGTTCAGAGGCTGGCTTGACCTTCCAGTAGCACACAGGCCTGGACCAGAATAAGGAATGGAACTGACATCTTGGGGGAACACAAGCACTCTACCATCCGCCTGGTGGGCTGGACTAATCCTTCCCCTCGTTTAACTCTTCTCCTAGCTGAAACCTTGAGGGAATCACCACCCCTGACTTCTTTCTTTTGAGTCCAAGGTTACTCTGCTCCTCAATTTCTCCCTCATATCAAATTTACTAACCAATGTCAGTATTTGACTTTCTTTGTGACAGGGGATCTCCGGTAACCCATTCTAAGAGTTAATGATGAGGCAGCATGGAATAGGAACTGAGTGGTGGAAGGACTGTCTGGGTTTAAATCTTGGCTCCTCCCCCTGCTAGCTGTGTAACCTGGGTCAAGTCCTTAAACCTCTATGTGCCTCAGTTTCCTCCTCTATGAATGGTGTTAATAACAATATCTATCTCAGAGAGTTAATATAAGGATTAAATGAGTAAATATTCATAAAGGAGTAGCACACAAGCACCGCAGAAGTATTTAAGTTAAAGAATAAATAATTTGGCTATAATGTCTATTTAACAGAAAAGGAAACAGAGGCTCAGAGAGGTTACATGACTTGGCTTTACTCAGTGCTCTTTTCGCTGCTTTCTTTTTTTGTTTTCTTTTTTTTTTTTTTTTTTTTTGAGACGGAGTCTTGCTCTGTCACCCAGGCTGGAGTGCAGTGGCACGATATCTTGGCTCACTGCAAGTTCTGCCTCCCAGGTTCACGCCATTCTCCTGCCTCAGCCTCCCAAGTAGCTGAGATTACAGGCGCCCACCACCACGCCCAGCTAATTTTTTTGTATTTTTAGTAGAGATGGGGTTTCACCATGTTAGCCAGATCGATGGTCTCGATCTCCTGACCTCGTGATCCACCTGCCTCGGCCTCCCAAAGTGCTGGGATTACAGGCGTGAGCCACCGCGCCTGGCTGGTACAGTGCTTTCTAATGCGTGGTCCTGTCTGTGCTCACTGAGAACTAGATTCCAATGAGAAGACTTCAAGGGGTCTTGGATGCTGTTGGAAATACTGTTCCCTCATCTCCTTCTGGGCCTGTTATGAAGTCGTTGTGATGTGAGCAAATAGGAGTGAAGATGTCAGCCAGGCATGGTGGCTCATGCCTGTAATCCTAGCACTTTGAAAGGCCGAGGCAGGAGGATCACCTGAGTCCAGGAGTTTGAGGCCAGCCTGGGTAATATGGCAAGACCTCATCTCTCCAGAATTTAAAAAATTATCTAGACATGGTGGCACACACATGCAGTCCCAGGTACTCAGGAGGCTGAGGTTGAAGGACTGCTTGAGTCTGGGAAGTCAGGGCTGCAGTAAGGCAGTGTTCATGCCACTGCACTCCAACCTGGGCAACAGAGCAAGACCCTATCTAAAAAAATAAGTAAATAAATGAGAGTGAAGATGTCAAATCCAATCAGCAAACTGAATCTAAAAATGCTGACTAAACACTAATATTTATTTCCCTTTGATCTCAATTAAATGAGCTGGTTAATTCCCTGCGTGCACACTCTCCTGTCTCTTTCACTGGTTTCACAGTAAAGTTTGTAGCTATGTAAAACTGCATTATTGTGTATCCACCCTCTGTGCACATGTTGGGTAGGATATTTTAAGGGCCACCTCCTTTATATTCAAAGCAGCTAGTACTGCTCGTGGTCACTACCTGTTTGCTTTGAGATTGGCTGGAAATTTCTAGAGCTTCTTTACTGGTTAGATCAAGAAGATTCAGCAGACAGAGCAGGCAGAGGCCTCGCCATCAGCAGCCCAGCTCAGGATGCCCATTGTTCCAGGTTAATGGGGTTGACCTGAGGAACTCCAGCCATGAAGAAGCCATCACAGCCCTGAGGCAGACCCCCCAGAAGGTGCGGCTGGTGGTGTACAGAGATGAGGCACACTACCGGGATGAGGAGAACTTGGAGATGTTCCCTGTGGATCTGCAGAAGAAAACTGGCCGGGGCCTGGGCCTGAGCATTGTTGGGAAACGGTAAAGACATGCTGTGCGAGTCGGGATCTGCCTTTTTCATCCAGAGCTCTGATGCCTGTGAACGAACACTGAAAGAGAAAGCCTAATGTGCAGTAGTGATGGGATTTCTAAAACTGAGATATTTATGAACATTTGACAACATGGGTCATATTTCTGAGCAAGGTCTTACCAAAAAAATTGTCATATCAATATAGAATTCCAAGCCCAATCAACCCAGACTGTCATATTTCTGTACAGAGTAAGAACAGCTAGCAAGGTTCTTTCACTCAGAATTACTAAGATCTGAGTTTTGCAGAGGTTAATTAAAGCAGCCATACCCAAGAAATACCTGGTATCAAGAATGAGATTTATCCAATGTTGGGTCAAGAACATTGCTTCGGCATGGAAATTAACATGGAACATTGCTTGTGTCATACTGTTAATTTCATACTATGTTGAAACTAGTTGAGTAGACGTAGTTAAGAGATAAACATAATTCTTCATGATAGTAGTTTTCTATTAAGAAAAATGTCCTGCCGGGCACAGTGGCATGTACCTGTTGTCCCAGCTATGTGGGAAGATCGCTTGAGGCCAGGAGTTTGAGGCCATAGTGTGCTATGATCATGGCTGTGAATAGCCACTGCACTTGAGCCTCTCAGGAAACATAACAAGACCCCATCTGTAAATTTAAACAAAAAAAAAAAAAAAAAAAAAAAAGAAAAAAGAAAAATGTCCCCAAAGTAATAGTTTGCACCAAAAATGTAGGTAGGTAGATCCTAGTGGCCAGGCTACTCTTTTGAAATATATGTTGCTGCTGGATGTGGTGGCTCATGCCTCTAGTCCCAGCACTTTGGGAGGCCAAGGCGGTTGGATCACCTGAGGTCAGGAGTTCAAGACCAGCCTGACCAAAATGGTGAAACCTCATCTCTACTGAAAAATACAAAACAATTAGCCAGGCGTGGTGGCAGGTAATCCTAGCTACTCAGGAGGCTGAGGCAGGAGAATTGCTTGAACCCAGGAGGCAGAGTTTGCAGTGAGCCGAGATCATGCCATTGTATTCCAGCCTGGGCAACAAGAGCTAAACTCCATCTCAAAAATAAACAAATAAATAAATAATAAATAAAAAGGAATACATGTTGCCTAGGCCAGGCTTAGTGGCTCACATCTGTAATCCCAACACTTTGGGAGGCTGAGGTGGGAAGATCACTTGAAGTGAGGAGTTCAAGATCAGTCTGGCAACACAGCAAGACTTGTCTCTAAAACAATTTTTTAAATAAAGAAAAATGAAGTCTATACTGCTTAACAGTAGTTTGTTCCAGGATGATATTGCTAAGTTTCTCTTGCAGTGAATTGGAAAGGTAAGTAATAGCTTGAAACAAAGCCTGGCTTCCATGGTTTACTGGCTTTTAGGTATCTAGTATGTGTTTATCCCAACAGCACTATAGGATTTCCAGGTAATATCCTAATATGGCCTTAAAGTGTATCAACCATGTTGTTAAGGAAGAAATTAAGTTGGTTTTATGCATGTTACGTTATATGCCCTCACAGACCTCTGGTGACTAGCCTAGTGCTTTTGTTCAACAGTCCAAGCTGTTATTAAAATAAAAATATTAGCTACAATTTTTGAGTACTGATTTTGGGCCAAGTATTGTGCTGTCATAATCTCATTTTTTTTTTTTTTTTTACTTCAGAACCAAAAACCATCACTCTGAAAATGCATTACCAAACAAAAAAAGCTGAGTCTCTTACATTTCTAAACAAAAATCAGTGCACATCTGGATGCAGAGCAACTGACAGAGGCAGTGTTGAAGTTTGCTTTCTTGTTTTGATGCATATGTATACCTGGTGCAGTTTCATTTAGAGTAATGATTTTTGCTTTTAGTGAACATCAGTATTTCAAGTTGAGTTTGTAAGGAGCATTTACATTCCTTAGCACAAAAACTTGCATTGTAAAGGATGTATAGTTCTCAAAAGTCACAATTTTCTTTGACTAACAATTCCATCACTAGGACTTTATCTTAAAGATATACTTACAGATATTCATTGCTTGTTGTTTGCAATAGTTAAAGAATGGAAATAACCTGTATGTCCATCAGTAAGCTACTGGTAAGTGAAATTATGAAACATCATAGAATAGTATGTAGCCATTTAAAAAATGAGGAAGCTCCATGTGCTGATAAAGACGAATTGCCAAGGTATGAAAGAAACAAAAAGAAAATAAAACTGGAAGAAGAAAGGAGTATATGTGTGTGTATCGTGTCACACACACACGTATTATGCATGGAAATATTAGGTTGTGCCAATACTGCACTGATGTATGGTATTAACAGAAATGGAAGCGGAGTGTTTATTTCTGACATCGTGAAAGGCGGAGCCGCAGACCTGGATGGGAGATTGATTCAGGGAGATCAGATCTTATCTGTGAATGGGGAGGACATGAGAAATGCCTCACAGGAGACAGTGGCCACCATCCTAAAGGTGAGTTGCTAGGCTGCTTTTTACTCAGCTGGCACAACTGAAGTCCAGTGGGAACTGTTCAGTCTAGCTTGATTATAAAATGGGTTGGATTTTATGCTAACTCTAGTTTTTACTGGAAATTTAATCTCTGATTATTTTAAATGAGCAGGAATAGCTTTAAAAGAAAGTTCAGTTATATTGACTAACAGAATGAAAGGGAACCTGCTTTGGGATTTCACAAGCAAGTTCTTCATGCTTGTGAACGTTCTGAGTATCCGTGACTGTTCTCTAAATGCGTTTGATGAGATGGGCCCTCCAGGAGCCACAGAATTCATCCTCCTCTCTCTAGGGCTATGCCTGTTGCTTTCATTACCCTTTTATAATTCATGGCTGCAGGGAGAGGCTCTGTTAAGATATTTCAGAATGTAAATGCTACTACTTTTCATTTCTGTTCTTTTCTTGCCTTTCCAAGTGTGCACAGGGGCTTGTGCAGCTAGAGATTGGAAGACTCCGAGCTGGTTCCTGGACCTCCGCAAGGAAGACATCACAGAACAGTCAGGTTGTCGATGGCTTATCATCAGACTGACTCACTCTTCTGCCCCCATTGGGAGAAAGCCCCCAATTTAATAAATGATTGTTTGGAAATAATATCTAATGTACAGCATATTCACAGCACCAAGTTTAGTGAATTTTCATGTGTTTGAAATAAAAATGAAAGGCGGGATGGAAATTCATTAATCCCTAGATTTTTCTCTCTATTGCTTGCAAATGTTTTCTTAGAACCACTTTTCTCTCTCACTATTAGTTTTATATCGCCTGTGCACGCATGTACACAGCTGTGTTTATTTTAAAAAAAAGGCAACATCTGGTGGCAATTTGACCCTCATTAGCACAACATTGTTCTATTCATTCAATTAAGTATTGCTATAAAGTTAACTTGTGACTAGCCACTCACACATGCTGAGGGCAATTAATGGCATATTCCTAGGAGAACCAAGTGTGGGGGTTTTTCCTGTGGGAGGGAGGCCTTAGTGGGTGATATTTTGTGGGTTAGCAAACATCTTATATTTATTTGCAAGGCTGATATAAGTGCCTTTTTTTTTTTTTTTTTTTTTTAGCAAAGTATATTTAACTATATTTTTTTCATTGTAATGGCTGACAAGATGGTAGACTGTATGGTTAGCCCCATGTGGTACATAGTGAGACTATAGAAACTGATATGCGACCCCTTAGTCTCCTCTCTGGGTTACGGATAGGCCGCCTTAGTTTTGAGGTTAAAAGCATGACTTTTGGTCCCCTGCCTGGTTGCCTTATTTCTGAAGCCTCTCCAAGGCCTTTGTTCAGAAGATGCCCTGATCTTACAGTTAGCCCACAGGTACTTCTGGAAAGCTGTTAGCCGCCTCCTGTTCCTCACTGGTGTTAAAAAATGAGTGAGGAAAATACCATTGTTCAGATAGGCTTACAGACTGGCTGGCTTATCTTAGGGAATCTTCAAAGCAGTCAAACCCAGTAAACACCATATTAAGTTTGAAACCCTTTTTTTTTTTCATTTCTGGCTTACATAATGGGCAGCAAATATCTAAGACATGGTGCTGCTGTAGGATTGCATGAGTTAATAGTTAGTGATGATATTGACCAGACTTCTATCAACAAACAAAACGGTTGTCTAGCCAGGGGATGCTTCCTTAATGGAAGACTCATCTTTGTTGAATGATTTCGTTAAAGCCTTATTGTATACAGAAGAATGAGAATGAAGCTATCCAGAGGAGCTTCCACTGAATCTCACTCCAGATGGAGTTTGGCGAAAATAAGGAAAAGGCATCTCAGACAGGGAAAATAGCATACGCAAAGGCACAAAGAGGTAACAGGAGTTTGTGTGATTTAAGAAAAGTTTGGACTGATCAATAGGTAAGGTAGTGGATAGAAGTGGATTTCTGTCCCTCTTGAGGAGTGTATGTGAGCATCTTCATAATTATTTATTTATTTATTTTTGAGACAGAGTCTCGCTCTGTTGCCCAGGTTGGAGCGTAGTGCAATCTTGGCTTACTGTAATCTCTGCCTCCTGGGTTCAAGTGAGTCTCCTGCCTCAGCCTCTCAAGTAGCTGGGACTACAGGTGCCCGCCACCACAGCTGGTTAATTTTTGTATGTTTAGTAGAGACAGGGTTTCGAAACATCATGGTCAGGCTGGTCTCGAACTCCTAATCTCAGGTGATCCACCCACCTCAGCCTCCCAAAGTATTGGGATTACAGGCATGAGCCACTGTGCCCAGGTGCATCTTTGTAATTTTTAAGTTCACACTTAAAGACAGAACTACCAAATTTAGAAGCTGCGTCATTAAATATCAAAAAAGAAACCTATCATCATCACTTACCTGGTATATGAATGTGAGCTGTCATATTTTAGAAACCTGGGACAAAGTATCAAATGCTTTGCCCTACTCTTCTTGCACAGAATTTTAATTTCAGAGGGTAGGAGTTTAATTCAATTTTTAAAAACAGTAAACATATCATCACCTTGGTTAAAATTATGGGTGAGATAGAAGAGTTTGCCCTATTTGGCTGATTAGAAGAAGGCTGGTAGCCGACTGTGAAAAGGAAATGTCTTGCCATCATGATGAGTTGAAGACTGACCCTGGTGGGCAAAAACAAGATTCCATTGCCAAACATTTTTACATCCAGACCTGTTTAAAAAATCAGGATCTTGTAGGAACACAGATTTCCTTCTGAATAGGTACAAAATAGGGAGATAAATGCCTTCTTTTGAGCGTTAAGGAGAATAAGCTGTTGACTTAATTCATAGAAAGTGAGTTCATTAAGAGAGAAATAACTTCTAGCTTTGGGGCCACCAAGCATCTTTTTTTAAAGTGACTTTCCCCACAAACCAGGAAGAAATTTCCTTACCCTGCAGAGGAAGGAATTCTTGCGAGATCTTTTCCTCAGTCAACTAAGGCAACACAGCCAGGCAAAGTGTACTTTTATAAACGTCTTGGGGCCGGGCGTGGTGGCTCATACCTGTAATCCCAGCACTTTGGGAGGTCGAGGCGGGCAGATCACTTGAGGGCCAGAGTTTAAGACCAGCCTGGCCAAAGAGCCTGGTGAAACCCTGTCTGTACTAAAGATTAGGTGGGCATGGGGGTGGGCTGCTGTAATCCCAGCTACTCAGGAGGCTGAGGCAGGAGAATCACTTAAATCTGGGAGGCGGAGGTTGCAGTGAGCTGAAACTGCGCCACTGCACTCCAGCCTGGGTGACAGAGGGAGACTCCTCAAAAATTATAATACAATTCAATAAAGGTCTTGGCAAACACATCTTTCTGAAATTTTTTAAAGGCAAAAGTTATAATATGCTGCACTTCCTCAGTTCTGAGTAGTTATCTATTATAGTACCATTTATTTAAATCGTATCCTTTAAGGAAAAATATAAAAACACTCTTTTAAATGTATATAGCCACTGTGAAGTATATTGAGATCTGCAACTTACTTTGAAATGAATTTAAAAAAAAGAAATAGATGAGTGATGAATAGATAAATAACTATATGATAAAGGAAACATAGCAAAATACTAATTGTGAAATCTAGGTGCTATTTATATGGATGTCTATTGTATAATTCAGCTTTTCTATATATTTGAGGGTTTTCATATTTTAGGAATTAAAATATTAAACAGAACTTTCATCAGAGAGTTAAGAAAATGTACCAAATTATAATTTATGAACTGGTAACAGTGATCTTAGGCTTAGCTTAAAGTTTTGACGCAGAATAATTCATTAGAAAAAATTATTCATTATTTGCAATACTGTTGTCTACATAAAGAAGGCCCTTCACTATGTATACAGTTTTTGTTGAATAACCACTAGCCTTAAAAGACTACACAGTATTAACCTCACATATTCATTTAAATGAATAAAGGGACAAGTAATGGAGGTCTAGCAGATTGGACTAAATTATTACGGATTCTAGGAAAATACTTGAGAAAAAAATGTTATATATCCCTAAAACAAGCCTTTTAAAAAACCCTTGAGATTTGGTGTTTTTTTGCCACAATTGAGGGTTCTATTTTGGCAGGTTTCTGCTAATCAAGGTCTTACTATACTTGTTTTAGCAAAATACATAATACATTTTGGGTAATAAGGGAATACCCAAATACATTTTGGGTAATAAGGTTGACTGTAACCCCAAATGAAACAAAGTGCCCATTAGCTGACTATATATATATAAACACTATGTGGCAACCTAGGAAAATGGTTTTGATTTTATGTGGAGCAAGAACAGCTGAAATGATTGTATGTTCTCCATCTTGGTGATTGAAACCATATACAAAAGCACATATAATGGAGAAAGCAATGGGGAAAATGTCTAAATGGGATTGGGTTGAGGTAGTAAGAGAATAAGTGTGTGTGATTTTTGTTTTCTTTCTTGACCTTTTCATGATTTTCTGTTAGATGGTTATGGTGACATCAGTAATTGGCACACTAACGGATAAGTACGCATTTTGGGGGCTAAGTCAGTGTCTGCACACGGGTGACCCCTGGGTCTTTCTTTCAGGGCAGTCAACAGAGCGCACACAGCAGCTGTCGTCCCTCCTTCACTCCTGTCATCACTGGCCTGCAAAACCTGGTTGGCACAAAAAGAGTTTCAGATCCTTCCCAGAAAAATTCAGGTATTATATACACAGACACACCCACAACAAAACTATCCTGTTACTCAAATTAAAATATATATATATATATATATATATATATATATATATATATGGGTTTTTTTAAAGTCCTCTTTAATTTAAATGTTTTTTATTTTTTGAGCTTGGCTGCATAAGCTGAGCTTTCTAAAAGGCCTGTTCTGAAGGTAAGAAAGCCATAGAGATTCCTTCAGTGGTGGCCAGGCATGGTGGCTCACGCCTGTAATCCCAGCACTTTGGGAGGGCCATGGCAGGCGGATTACCTGAGGTCAGGAGTTCAAGACCAACCTGGCCAACATGGCGAAACCCTGTCTCTATTAATACAAAAAAATTAGCCGGGTGTGGTGGTGCACGCCTGTAGTCCCAGCTACTTGGGAGGCTGAGGCAGGAGAATTGCTTGAACCTGGAGGGGATGGTAGAGGTTGCAGTGAGCCGAGATGGTGCCACTGCACTCCAGCTTGGGTGACAGAGCAACACTCCGTCTCAAGAAAAAAAAAAAAAAGAAATTCCTTCAGTGGCACAACACAAAGCACCTGAAAAACAGAAAAGCAGAAAGCTGGAGTGCATCATAAAGTAAAATTATTTACAAAGAGAAAATTAATAAATTACAGGTCACTGGAGAAAGGTGAGAAGTGTGTATACCTTCTATGGGAAAATTGGGCCAGTTAAAAAGAAAAAAAGGTGTGTATATCCTTGGGGACAGGATGGGACAAGGGGTCCTTTTAAGTCTTGTTGAATGGAGGGTTATCTTTGATTAAGGTAGAAAAAAATGTACAATGAAACACAAATGACTCGGCCGGGCGCTGTGGCTCATGCCTTTAGTCCTAGCACTTTGGAAGACCGAGGCAGGTGGATCACCTGAGGTCAGGAGTTCGAGACCAGCCTGGCCAACATGGAGAAACCTTGCCTCTACTAAAAATACAAAAATTAGCCAGGCGTGGTGGCACATGCCTGTAATTGCAGCTACTCAGGAGGCCAAGGCAGGAGAATCGCCTGAACCCAAGAGGCAGAGATGGCAGTGAGCTGAGATCGAACAACTGCACTCCAGCCTGGGTGACAGAGTGAGACTCCATCTAAAAAAAACAACACAAATGACTCATCCTCCAAGCATTTACTCACCATGTTCCAGGCAGCTGCTGCTATATAGCACATCAACTTTTGTCAGACCAAATGATTATGGCCACATCAATCTCAGACAGAGAGCACTTCTTAAAAATAGAGGACACAGCAGGCCGGGTATGGTGGCTCACGCCTGTAATCCCAACACTTTGGGAGGCTGAGGCAGGTGGATCACTTGAGGTCGAGAGTTTGAGACCAGCCTGGCCAACTTGGTGAAACCTGGTCTCTACTAAAAATACAAAAATTAGCCGGGCGTGGTGGCGGGCGCCTGTAATCCCAGCTGTTTGGAGGCAGAGGCAGGAGAATTGCTTGTATCTGGGAGACAGAGGTTGCAGTGAGCTGAGATGGTGCCACTGCACTCCAGCCTGGGTGACAAAGCGAGACTCTGTCTTGAAAGAAAAAAAAAGAGGACATGGCCCCTGGTGACTTGGCTACCAGCTTGGATGCTGAGGAGGGGTGTACAATACCTGCTTGCTTTAGTGTCTTATCTTGAAAGACCGAGAAAATGAAACCATTTTTCATGGGACAATATTATATCATAAATATATTATTTTTTAATGTTAAAAAGTTAATTGTGTTGCTTCTTTTTAGGCACAGATATGGAACCAAGGACTGTTGAGATAAACAGGGTAAGTCAGTCATTTTGCTGTACATGTTTTTCTGGTTTGTGTTGGATTTGCATTAAATGTACATTTTCCCCAATACAATTTATTAGATTGTAAGTGTGCTCTTTCAAGTTACTGAGATAAAAATATGGTCTAAATAACATCAATAGATAGACTTAGAAAAGTACAGTAGAGCACAGAGATGACCTCTATGAATTTCTTGGCAAATCTCATCCACTATATTCTGTGCCTGCAAGTTTTTTTTTTTTTTTTTTCCCAATCTTAGTCTTTTAACCTGTACATGTAAAGTTTTATAAAACAAAAATGGTATCATGTGGCACATACTAAATAAGTATTTTTTGACAGCATGTGGCATTATTTTTATTGATTTCATAGTACTCCAGCATATGAATGTGCTATAAGTTTCTTTTCTTTTTTTTTTTTTTTTTGAGACAGAGTCTTGCTCTGTCACCCAGGCTGGAGTGCAGTGGCGTGATCTCAGCTCACTGCAAGCTTCGCCTCCTGGGTTCACACCATTATCCTGCCTCAGCCTCCTGAGTAGCTAGGACTACAGGCGCCCACTACCACACCTGGCTAATTTTTTGTGTTTTTAGTAGACACAGGGTTTCACCGTGTTAGCCAGGATGATTTCGATCTCCTGACCTCATGATCTGCCCGCCTCAGCCTCCCAGAGTGCTGGGATTACAGGAGTGAGCCACTGCACCCAGCCAAACATGCTATAAGTTTGTTAACCAGTTTCCTATTATTGAACAATTAGCATATTTCTCGATTTTTGCTGTCTTTTATAGTAAAACATCTTCATATTTTTGCCCATATCATGAGTAATTTCCTATTAATTCCTAGAAATGAAATTTCGGGGTCAAAAGCCAAGCTTGTTATTAGAGACTTTTATACATGTTGCTAAATTCCCCTTTTGAGAAGATTGTATAAGATGTATTTCAGTTCATAAATTTGTTGAACCCTGATTTTCAGACTCCTGTGTGATGATATCTAATGAAAGTAGACTCTTTTTTTCTTTTTCTTTTTCTTTTTCTTTTTGAGATGGAGTCACTGTGTCACCCAGGCTGGAATGCAGTGTCACAGTCTCAGCTCAGTGCAACCTCCACCTCCGGGATTCAAGCAATTTTCGTGCCTCAGTCTCCCAAGTAGCTGAGACTACAGGCATGCACCACCACGCCTGGTTAATTTTTGTATTTTCTGTAGAGGCACAGTTTCTCCATGTTGGCCTGGCTAGTCTCGAACTCCTGCCGTCAAGTGATCCAACCTCCTCAGCCTTCTGAAGTGCTGGGATTATAGGCATGAGCCACCAGCCCCGGCCAAAAGTGGACTTTTATTTTGCTCACTTTGACCTAAATGAGGGGTTCAAGAACAAATAATGACCCTGTTGTAATCATGGTAATCCACTGCAGTAAAGTGATATCCAGCGTAGCTTACTTCTCTAGATTTAATGATACCTCTGTTTGAGGGCATTCTACCATTTATTAGCTACATTAGTTTGCTAGATCTGCAGTTACAAAACACCACAGACTGGGTGGCTTAAACAATGGGAATTTATTTTCTCACAGTTCTGAAGGCTAGATCCAAGATGAAGGTGTCTGCAAGTTTGGTTTTTCCTGAGGCCCCCCTCCTTAGAATGCAGATGTCCGCTTTCTTGCTGTAGCCTCACGCGGCCTTTTTTGTGTGTCACTCATCATCCCTGGTGTCTCTCCTATGTCCTAATCTTTTCTTATAAGGACACCAGTCACATTGGACTGGGGCTCACCCTGGCCTCATTTTAAAGGCCCTATCTCCAAATACAGTCACATTTTGAGGCCCTGGTACTTAGGGCTTCAGCATGTGATTCTTAGGGGGACACAATTCAGCCTGTACATTAGCTGTACAGCTGGGTGTGGTGGCTCATACCTGTAATCCCAACATTGTGGGAGGCCGAGGTGGGAGGATCACTGAACCCAGTAGTGTGAGACCAGCCTGGGCAATATGGGGAAACTCTGTCTCTACAAATAATTTTTTTTTTTGATTAGCCAGGCATGGTGGTGCATGCCTGTGGTCTATTTGGGAGACTGAAGTGGGAGGATCGCTTGAGCTCAGGAGGTTGAGGCTGCAGTAAGCCGTGATCATGCCACGGCACTCCAGCCTGGGTGACAGAGTAAAACTGTCTCAAAAAAAAAAAAAAAAAAAAAAAACATTAGCTCTATAATAGTTAGCAAGTCAACCTCAACCTCAATTTTCGCATCTGTAGAATGGGGGTGATAACACTAACTTACCTCAAAGGTAAATATTGTTGTGTGGATTAAGTGAGGTAATGAATGTAATATCTTTAGCATAGTACCTAGTGCATCAGGAATGCCTAGGAAGTGGCTCTGTTGTTATTAGCTACAGCTTTGACTAAATCTGCCTTATTTGTTCCCAGTATTTTTCCACCAGAGTAGCAACTCAAATGTTCCTATGATGGGGAAGTTAAATGTACCAACAGTATAGATAATTATGGATAAATTAAGGAAACATCATGATGGATTTAAACAAAGCCAAAAAATTATTGCATACATTTCTCCCCTAAGATTTCAAAAATAATATTATTTTATATTTCCTTAGTCATTTCAGCCACTTGTTTTTACAGGCTTTTGTAATAAAGCCTGCTCCTACCTACCCTGTTCTACCACACGTGATCCAAGCAGAAATTTCTTTCTTTTTTTTTCTGAGAGAGTCTCGCTCTGTTGCCCAGGCTGGAGTGCAGTGGTGCAATGTCGGCTCACTAAAACCTCCACCTCCCAGGTTCAAGTCATTGTCCTCCCTCAGCCTCCCAAGTAATTGGGATTACAGGTGCATGCCACCATGCCCAGCTAATTTTTTGTATTTTCATTAGAGACAGGGTTTCACCATGCTGGCCTGGCTGGTCTCAAACTCCTGACCTCAAGTGATCCGCCCGGCTCAGCCTCCCAAAGTGCTGGGATTACAGGAGTGAGCCACCACACTCAGCCTCTAAACTTCTGCTATGCTGGTTTGGGTCTGTCCCACACATATGTAGCCTGAGAGTTCTGTGGGTTCACAAACAGAACTGAGGATTCATTTTCTTCAGCTTCCTCTACTCTGCTTTTCTTCTCTTTCCCTCTTTTTCCTGATTCTTCTGCCTAGAAGGATGGAATTTCTATCTGAATGTTAGCATTCACCCTACCTTTCCAGCTCCTTGACTGGGAATCACCCTCAGGGTAAAGCTGCCAGGAAAAAAAATAAAACTGGGAATTTCCCCTCGCTGCTGTCGTTTCTCCAAGTTTTGACTCTCCACCACACTTTATTTGGTTTCTTTTTGTTTCAGAGGCCCCAGGTAGTTGTTTTTTACATTTTGACTAGACATCTTGATTGTAACCAGCAGGAGCGATATGCTGTCACGTGTCTGTGCTACCATGCCAGAACTGGGACTTGTCATTTGTTCTTTTAGTGATTTTAAAAATATTAACCCTATGATACTAATGTGGGAAAAGACTGGACTAGAGCCAAGTCTCTTCACCAGAGTCCATCTTGGGGAACATTTTCAGCCACATTTTATGTCTCTCTTCAAACTGTTGTCACTACAGTGGGTGTCCTCTCAGATCCTTTGTTTTAACGCAGTCTTTTAAAGCCAAATGTGTTTGTTCACACCCAGAAGAGCATAGTATGTGTGGCAGTTTAATCATAAACACCATATGAGAATATACTTGCCAAGTCTGCATCAGAATTGGCCACTAAACTAAGCAGCTGCATAGGGCGTTGTGTGTGTGTGTGTGTGTGTGTGTGTGTGTGTATGTTTAAATTACTCCTGCTATTGCCTTTTATTGAGCCTTTTCTGTAGGCCATGAGTGTGCCATACCATCTCATTTAATGCTCAGACCAACACTGTCAGGTATGTAGTATTCTTCTCATTTTATATATAGAGATGGAGGCTTTAAGAGGTAGTCAGCTTAAATAACAACCAGAGAAGCTCTCTAAAAGAAAATGGTGTTTATTGAGGAATGGGAATATGTGGGCCATAGTAGACTACGTGCATATTCAGGCAGGTAAGGAAAATAAAAGTTTTTAGAGGACAAAATGAGGAATATATAATTATTTTGAGATAATTATCCTTGGCTACAAAGATTAATAACACGGGTGCCACACAGCCCAAGGCTGGACAGGCATTTGCCAGACAAATGCACTTGTAGAAACTTTTTTTTATGTAAGGTTGTGACGTCCTTCCTGCAGGGTTGTGGTTTTTGCAGTCTTTTGTGATAATTTTTGTTATCAGGCATACAAGCCTGAGAACCCTTTCTTCATAGCCTTTCCTGGCTCTATTGGTAAGGATTTTTTTTTTTAACACAAGTGACTCCAATTTGATTCTGACAATTTTCACAAGGTTAAGCAACTTCCCCCAAGACCCCACAACTAATTAAGAGCTAGAGCTAGGGCTGGGCACAGTGGCTCACACCTGTAATCCCAGCGCTCTGAGAGACCAAGACGGGTGGATCACCTGAGGTCAGGAGTTCAAGACCAGCCGGGCCAACATGGTGAAGCCCTGTCTCTACTAAAAATACAAAAAATTAGCCAAGCGTGATGGTGTGCACCTGTAATCCTAGCTACTCAGGCGACTGAGGCAGGAAAATTGCTTGAACCTGGGAGGCAGAAGTTGCAGTGATCTGAGATCGTGCCATTGCACTCCAGTCTGGACAACAAGAGCGAAACTTTGTTCAAAAAAAAAAAAAAAAGAGCTAGAGCTGTCTACTCCGAAGTCTCCACATTTAACTCCTGTGTTATCTTGGCCTCCTACCTCATGGAGGGATTTTGTTCAACAGCTATCTGGGGATAGTCAGTTTGTGGCTCTTTATTAAAAATATAAGCATTATGTTTTCTTTCTTTTTTAGGAGCTCAGTGATGCCCTTGGAATCAGTATTGCTGGAGGAAGAGGAAGTCCCTTAGGAGATATCCCTATATTTATTGCCATGATTCAGGCCAGTGGAGTGGCTGCACGGACACAGAAGCTTAAAGTAAACAAAAGATAACTGGTTGAAGGGCTAACAGCATGTGGTGGGGTGGGAGAGGAAGTTGCAGCCCTTGGCACCTTGTTTAAAACTGGAATTCCAATAGCCATCAGAGACCCAGGCTGGAGGCAAGATGCATTAAAGAAGCTTTATACCTTTAGAAATTCATTAGGTCCCCAGGCACGTAAAAATATTATTATTTGTATCAAAGCTTCTCAATAAAAGAAGAAATTGCAGCCCCTTTGCAAACCCTCCTTTACCCTTTTAAGCACCTCATTTCACCCAAACTCAGCTCTCAACTGAGAGACATTTGACCTTAGAGTCTTCCCTCAATCAAAAGAATCACCATTTTTATGATTTCTCCCCCTTGTTGCCCCTTAATCTTAATTTCAGTAGAAAAATAAAGCAGAAAATATTTGGCTTCCTCATTAGAACGTTATTGAACAGTTAATGTGTATACCTCGCTATTACTGGCAATGGATGTATGAAACACCACCATTACCAAAATACAAAAGTGGCCTACTGTGCTTTTTAATAATCAAATCTGACCCCCTTCTTGTTGCTCTGATTTGTCTGTATTTGGGGAAAGCCAAAAATATTCCTCATGCTTCTTGAACATGTATACACAGTAGTAACACAGAATCCTCACAACAGCCACCAATGGGAAATAGGACTTGCAAAGAATTTTAAGCATTCTTCTCAAATTTAATTTTTCTTAATGATAGTGATTTTCTGTCACTTTTGTGCTTCCAGGTTGGGGATCGGATTGTCAGCATTAACGGGCAACCTTTGGATGGGCTGTCTCACGCGGATGTGGTTAATCTGCTGAAGAACGCCTTCGGGCGCATTATCCTGCAGGTATTGCGATCAATGGAGCACGCAGCTGTGCGAGGCAGATAAGTGGCACGCAAAAAAGATTGAGCGTCACTGGCAGTAGGCATCGCCACCCAGCAGGGTGCTTGCTGATGTGAATTATGAAGGTTGAAAGCAAGAAATTATTATTTTTATTCAAAAATTCTTTAATGCCACCCATACAGGCAGTGAGCATGATTATATGAAAGCATAACAAGGGGAGAAAAATTACTCTCTGCTTCACATGATAAATCAACACGGCTTTTAGCTTCCAGTGTTCTTTTGTAAATCAGTTTGTAAGGAATAAGAAATGAGTTCTTTTCTTATGCCCAAAGACTGTTACTGAACTGCCCAAGTGCTGTTTCTTCTTTTCCCCTTAAAGGAAGAGGAAAAATACAATGCTCTTTTTCTTGTAGCATAGATTGCCAACACTGTTAAATTCTCACTGCATAGCAGTCATCAACCAAGGCAGACAATCAGCTGTGGTCCCCAGCAGTATTGTTCCGAGGCACGAGGAAATATACCAAGATATAAAAGCAAAGTGTACTGTTAATTACCCCTGCTTATATTTTAGCCCTTCAGATGTCTCTGAGATTGACACCATGCAGTGACTGAGAGGCAGCATAATGGCAGTGAGTTTCATTAATGAGTTTCCCCAGAAATGTATGCTTACCACACTTCTGCAGAGGTAATATAAAATGGTTTATAGGTAGCCAGGCGCGGCGGCCTATACCTGGAATCCTGGCATTTTGGGAGGCTGAGGCAGGTGGATCACATGAGGTCAGGAGTTCAAGAGCAGCCTGGACAACATGGTGAAACCTCGTCTCTATTAAAATACAAAAATTAGCCAGGGGTGGTGATGGGTGCCTGTAATCCCAGCTACCTAGGAGGCCGAGGCAGGAGAATGACTTGAACCCGGGAGAAGGAGGTTGCAGTGAGCCGAGATTACTCCACTGTACTCCAGCCTGGGTAACAGAGTGAGACTGTCTCAAAAATAAAATAAAATAGTTTATAGATAAAAAGAATAAAGCCCACCGTTTACTACCTTAGAGAGAGGGCCAGCCAGCCACTCATCATTCTAGCCTTAAAATAAGAAATTTGGGCTGGGTGCAGTGGCTCACACCTATAGTCCCAGCACTTTGGGAGGCTGAAGCAGGTGGATCACTTGAGGCCAGCAGTTCAAGACCAGCCTAGGTCATAGCAAGACCCCATCTCTAAAAAAAATTAAAATAAAGAAGTTAGCCTGGCGTGGTGGTGTGTGTCTGTAGTCCTAGCTACTTAAGAGACTGAGGTAGGTGGATGGCTTGAGCCCAAGAGTTGGAGGCTACAGTGAGCCACGATTGTGCCACTGCATTCCTGCCTGGGCAGCAGAGTGAGACCCTGGCTCAAAATAAATAAAAAAATATATAGGAAGTTCGAATTGAAAAACCATTACATAGCTGGGCACAGTGGCTCATGCCTGTAATCCCAACACTTTGGGAGGCCAAGGCAGGAGAATTGCTTGAGCCTGGGAGTTTTGAGACCAGCCTGGGCAGTGTGGTATGATACCCATCTCTACAAAAAAAAATATAGATAGATATTTAATAATAAAAAATAAAAATTAGGGCCGGGTAGTGGCTCAAGCCTGTAATCCCAGCACTTTGGGAGGCCGAGGCCGGCGGATCACGAGGTCAGGAGATCGAGACCATCCTGGCTAACACGGTGAAACCCCGTCTCTACTAAAAAAATACAAAAAACTAGCCGGGCGTGGTGGCAGGTGCCTGTAGTCCCAGCTACTCGGGAGGCTGAGGCAGGAGAATGGCGGGAGGCGGAGCTTGCAGTGAGCTGAGATCCGGCCACTGCACTCCAGCCTGGGCGACAGAGCCAGACTCCGTCTCAAAAAAAAAAAAAAAAAAAAAAAAAAAAAAGAAGAAAAAGAAAAACCATTACATAGCTGGGCACAGTGGCTCATGCCTGTAATCCCAACACTTTGGGAGGCCAAGGCAGGAGAATTGCTTGAGCCCAGGAGTTTTGAGACCAGCCTGGGCAGTGTGGTATGATGCCCATCTCTACAAAAAAAATATAGATAGATATTTAATAATAAAATAAAAATTAGAAAAAGAAAAACCATTACATTTGGGACAAGCAATTTGTAGTGTTTAATATCTGTGGTCCTAAGTCAAAGTGTCAAAACAGACATTTAAAAAGTAAGTATTGTTATACATATGTAACAAACCTGCCGCGTTGTGCACATGTACCCTAAAACTTAAAAAGTATAATAATAATGATAATAAAATAAAGTAAAATTTTAAAAAGTAAGTGGCTTTCAGGTATGTATGGGAGGTATAATGAAAATCCTGTCAGTTTACTATCACACTGGTCTTTAAGTTAAAATTGTAAAGGAAAAGAAAAGAAAATCCTGTCACTAATTTCAAGGGAGTTTATGTGATAGGCCAAATATTATTACAAAAAAAAATATAGATAGATATTTAATAATAAAAAATAAAAATTAGAAAAGAAAAACCATTACATTTGGGACAAGCAATTTGTGGTGTTTAATATCTGTGGTCTAAGTCCAAAGTGTCAAAACAGACATTTAAAAAGTAAGTGACTGATGTATACATATGTAACAAACCTGCACGTTGTGCACATGTACCCTAAAACTTAAAGTATAATAATAATGATAATAAAATAAAGTAAAATTTTAAAAAGTAAGTGGCTTTCAGTATGTATGAGGGGTATAATGAAAATCCTGTCAGTTTACTATCACACTGGTCTTTAAGTTAAAATTGTAAAGGAAAAGAAAAGAAAATCCTGTCACTAATTTCAAGGGAGTTTATGTGATAGGCCAAATATTATTAAATTATTTGGGTCCCTGATCGTCTATTGAACACAAATCAAAACAGTGTGTGGACTGGGCATAGAATCTGCTTCCCCTCAACTCCTCATCCTCACTTTCAGTGGAAGCCTGCATAGTTACCTGCATTCCTTCCTCCACCCTACAAATCTTTGCTTTCTGAAATGGGTGGCTGTGCTTGCTCATCCTTCGCGTTATGCTGACCCCTAGAGGCAGTACAGTGCAGCTCTTCAGTGTGGAACCCAGGACCTTGAATTACAAAGACCTTACGAGGAGCCTACTTCAAATGTAACTGACCAGAAAAAAAGTCTCTCCCTTAGCAAAATCTTGTATTGATATTTGCACATATTGATATAATTTGTTCAGCTCTGTCTTCCTCACAAATAAATAAGAAGACACAATTAGCCGGGTGTGGTAGCACATGCTTGTAATCCCAGCTACTCAGGAGGCTGAGGCAGGAGAATCGCTTGAACCCGGAAGTCAGAGGTTGCAGTGAGCCAAGATCACCCCATTGCACCCCAGCATGGGCAACAAGAGTCAGACTCCATCTCAAAAAAAAAAAAAGCACATAGAAACTAGCTGCTCGGAGGCTGAGGCAGGAAGATCACTTGAGCAGAAGAGTTTGAGGCTGCAGTGAGCTATGATCATAGCACCACACTCAGCACTGCACTCATAGTCACTCTGTCGCCCAGCTCTAAATAAGTAAATAATAACATTATGTAACTATAATGTCATAATAATAAAAACCAATATAACCAAACAGTATGAATGAATTATTACTATTTTATTTTTTTGAGACAGAGTCTCACTCTGTTGTCCAGACTGGAGTGCAGTGCAACCTCCATCTCCTGGGTTCAAGCAAGTCTCCTGCCTCAGCCTCCCAAGTAGCTGGGACTACAGGCATGCACCACCATGCCCGGCTAATTTTGTATTTTCAGTAGAGATGGGATTTTACCATGTTGGCCAGGCTGGTCTCAAACTCCTGACCTCAAGTGATCTGCCTGCCTTGGCCTCCCAAAGTGCTGGAATTACAGGCATGAGCCACCACGCCTGGCTGCATGAATTATTAGTAGCATGGGGATTTGTGGTGTTTTGGTAGAAGGAAAATGTGAGTTAAATCTTTATCTTCCACAATAAGAAGTAATTAGATATCAAAAATTTTAAAATCAAGAAGTAGAAGTAAAACTGTTATTTAAGAATATGGAAGCACAGCCTGGCCAACATAGAGAAATCTTGTCTCTACTAAAAATACAAAAAAGTAGCCGGTCGTGGTGGTACACCTCTGTAATCCTGGCTACTCAGGAGGCTGAGGCGGGAGAATCGCTTGAACCCCAGGGTTAGAGGTTGTAGTGAGCCGAGATCTCGCCACTGCATTCTGGCCTGGGCAACGTGAACATGGAAGCAAATACTAGGAGAAACTGTTGAAAGTAGTTGCTTTTAGGGAGTAAGAATCTGTAATGGGGGTAAAGGAGCAAGGACTCTTTCATTAAATACTATAGAATCATTTTGGCTTTTAAAATTATATAAATGGGCCAGGCGCAGTGACTCACACCCATAATCCCAGCACTTTGGGAGATCGAGGCTGGCAGAGCGCTTGAGCCCAGAAGTTTGAGACCAGCTTGGACAACATGGTGAAACCCCATCTGTACAAAAAAAAGTACAAAAATTAGTCATACATAGTGGCATGCACTTGTAGTCCCAGCTACTGGTGAGGCTGGGGTGGGAGGACTGCTTGAACCCGGGGGGCAGAGGTTGCAGTGAGCCAAGATCGTGCCTCCAGCCTGGATGACAGAGGGAGACCCTGTCTCAAAATTTAAAAAAAAAAAAAAAAAATTACGTAAGTGAATAGGTGTGATTCTTTTTTTAATTGAGATAAAAAGTTGTTGGAAAGTATTAGAACTACAGAGGATTGAGTAGATTTTTTAAACATAGGAAACAAGTAGAACTTAAAAATAATGTAACAGTTAAGTGGAAGAGTTTGGCTAGCTAAATTTTCATCTCTTAGAGTACGGAGTCGATGGACACCAAGATAGTACATTTTAAAATAGGCATATAAGAATATTATTTAGCTTATTCTTTAGAATTAAAAAGAGAAAAGTTCAGTGTGCTTCTAGGGAGGGCAAGTGTTGAATTTTTTTATCATGTGCTGTACTATTTAATTTTTTATTAT